AGTGCCCGAGTACAATCCGTCGGAGGACCGGCTGCTGCGATGGGCGGTGCCTCTGCAACCCGAAGAGCAGTCTACTCGCACGCGTCCTGACATACTTCATGGGCAGCCTTCGCAACCAACTTAGGCCACTCCTCGTCTCGCCTTTTATCTCCCACTCCCGCTTTTCCCCTCCAGCCCCCACCCTGCTGTGCTCTGTTTTGATACATTTGTTTATGTGTGCGTGTGTGAGCACTATTTTTTTAAGTTTCAACAACAAAATTGTGACTTGTGCTGTCGTCGTCGTCGTCGCGGTTGTTGGTGGCGTGTTGGTGGGTTGTATGATGAACGCCTCGAGCTTGTCCAGATTGCATTCTGCAACTTGGATAATTCTGGTGCTCAATTGGGGCATGTGGTATTTAAGTTGAATGTCTAGGTTGCATATTAAAAGTGTGTGTGTTTGTGTTAGTGAGAGATGCACCACACGCACGCTAAATTGTATTGGAAGTTGTGGGTACGAAGAGACGACAAATTGCAGTTCGTGGTTATTGGTTGCTGTCGTTGGGGCCAAAGGAGGTAGAAAGCCCTTGGGACGACGCAGGACGCCAATTAGCGATGGGCAAGGAAGGTGCGTTGTGAATTTGAGATGGAAAACGCAATGGATTGTGCATCAAGTGCTTCAAGTCACATCACTGGAGTTGTGGCATTTGTTTGCCTCACGCAATGCTTAAGGTGAACTCTTTTGAATGTAGAACACACTCGGAGGTGTGGCGAAGTGTCGGTAAAACAGCCTCCTATGTCTGATGCCTCCTCAATACATTAATACATAATTGTAAAGAAGGTAAACCAGCTCAACTTAATAATGTCGATTGTCAAATCAGAACATAGGTAGGTGAAGCTACCATCGATCCGTGTAACAGTTGACATAGCACTACGGTCAGAGTATTGCATGATAAAGAATCTGCAAATTCGTCCCGTTTTGCTTCAGCAAGAAACGCATCATCTAATTTGCTCTCAAAAAACGTGAAACATTGCCGGAAATTTTCGAACAAACTCGATAATTGCACAAGTGCTCAAATCATTTGAACTCTGCTTAAAGCAACATTTGTGAAAACTACAATACATTTATTGTAGCACGTGTCGTGAACGACACGGTACAGCACACTAATCCGTGGTTACATTACCAATTTTAACCTTTTACACAAAAACACATCCAGGGGTTTGAGGTGTTAGCTGTTGAAATACAGCTATCAAGAAACTTATTCAAAACTCAGATGGAACAGGGATAGGTGGTAGACACTATGTGTTGATAATTACAATGCATTTATTTTGTAAAATTATCTCTCTTTGCTTTGGCGCCTATAATCCACAACTTGGTTTCAGCACACGAATCCGTCGTTACGTTACCAATTATTGCCATTTCGCACGAAAACACCCAAGGATTTTTGGAGTTAGCTCTCTGAATTCAGCTGTCAAGCAACTTATTTAAAACTCAGATGGATCATAGATAGGTGCTTAATTGTGGCATGTGGGATTTACGTTGAATGTCGCGGTTGCATATTAAAACTGTCTCTGTGTGTTGATGAGGGGTAAAGTTTGTCGGCGTGATTTTCAGCAGGCAGGCCACACGACGACGCAGATATCCAATAGGCGGAGTGCAGGGTGGGTGCTCTGTGTAGTTGAAATGGTGCTCGCAATAATTTCGTTCCAAGTACTTTGAGGCACATTATTTAAACTAAGTTAATCTTCATCTGCTTTAGCACCTGTTATTAACGACACGGTACTGCACACTAATCCGTGGTTACATTACCAATTTTGGCATTTTACACAAAAACACACCCAGTGATTTTTGGAGTTAGCTGTCTGAATTCAGCTGTCAAGCAAATTTTTAAAACTCAGATGGAAGAGGGATAGGTGGCAGACACTATGTGTTAGCAGATATGACACGTGCATTGTGAGTGAAGAGTCTAATAGCATGATATCTCTCTAGTTAAGAATTTTTGACAAGAATTTGTCCGATCAAAACTTCACGGTTGGTGACGCTGTCCTCTTGTCAACCATCTCGAAGGGTGGTTTTGCACCCGCATTCTGATCGTCAATTATGCAAGCATGAGATTAGGCCGGAAATGTGTTGATAATTACTGCCTCAAGTAATGCACCCCACTCCAATGCCACCAACATCACGATTGCCAGAGTGGCCGACGGGATTGCCACTCGACCATTGCTCGCCACGGGCCTCCGAGAATTTACGCATCTCAAGCACGCACTCCCAATCATCACGGCTTTTCCACTAATGGCCAACAGCCATCTGGTGCCATGTCATGCTTGATGCCTTTATTACTTCGAACTTTACACCTAAATGGAGTTAGGTGCCTTAGTCTGTGTTGTAAATGTTCCCTTTTTGCTGCTTATTTGCTAAACTACTCAATTACACTGACAACTCTGATAACAATCTCCAGGCATTCGCAAAGATTTGACTGTGTCAGTAGGAGTTCTTAACTTACCTCACAACCTTTCGTAATGGCGGCATTCAGGTGATAATCCTATCAAGCTTTAGAGCTTTGTCAATGTAAGCTGATAATGAGATGCTGGTTTCATATTTACGAAGGCACATTTCAGCAACCAAGTCATCTATGCAATAAACACGTTCCCAAACACGATTTTCACTCCCTCTCTCCCTCCTCAACGATTCTACATTTGATCGCTTCCACAAAACTTTATAATAATTATTACGCCATGGTTCTTTCCTTTAAGGTTCGCTTTGAATTACTGGCTACATTGATGTATAATTTTGGTAACCCAAACTTTTTCGACTTTAACAGACAAACGATTTTTGTTAGATGCACTGTTAACGCTTCTACCACGCCAATACGAGTGAAGCTGCTTTTGCCATCTCGACAAATCCATTAAGAGTGAAAGTTTGCTGCACAATTTGACATTCACGAGGATTAGCTTCAATCTTTTCGAGATTACGCATAAATCAAAGTTCCAACATGAACAGAGAAAACACTTATTCCGTCAAGGAATTTGGCACGGCAGTGAGGTGTGTCGCGTGTCAAATCAATCATGATTCCAAGTGGGTGCTGCGTTGGCCTCATCGGGTTGACTAAGTGCAAAGAATCCCATTTCAAGTGCATAAACAACAGACGAAGACGTGATGTATACGCTCAGCATTGTGACATCTGCACAAGGGCATAACTGAAATGGGTCATTTCGACGTTTTGATTTGTACTCGAAAGTTGATGCAATGCATCAGGGTGACACGCAAAATGCTTTCATAAAAGATTACCACCATTATCAGCACAAATATCCTAGTCCAGGTTGAGAAAGCCGTGTTTTCGTGAGGAAAGTGTATTCGAGTTGATCGGCTGCCATGCCAGACATAATAGCATCTTCGGCGATGTAACTGGATCCGCTTAGTTTTTATAAGCATCATATCGGTTCTGTGTAATCATGACAGCGTTAGCGAGTCCAGAGATTGCACGAGATTGCCATCGCCCTCAATTTAAGCACCTTCTGTGTTCATAGAATTGACAGCTGTTGAAGATGACGATCACACGAGGCAATCAATAGCTAAAGATTAGTGCATAGCGACGACAACAGACATTTGGTGACGACTTAATGCATTACACTACCAGCAGTCATGCTGCATTGGGATTTTGATAAACATTCAAGGCGTTAATGAATTCACCAGCAGCGTCGACTTAAACGGCTGCAGAATTCCAACATGTTCCAGTTGAGTAGGAATTAATTGCGGCGTATTTGGTGGTCAAGCTTAACACGTGGTTTATCAGCTAGTCGCTATCCACACTTGGCAGGCACGTAAAAACAGAGCGGAGTGCAGTGTCTGCAGATGGCCTGTGTTCGAATCCCTAATCTGCCTCAATTTTTCTATTATCGTCTTAAACCTGCAGCGTCGTACACACCTCCAACCATCACTTTCATATAAGCGATTAAAGTGATCTCAGTGGATACGCGTCATGCTCATTTGGATGGCTGTGTGACATATTGGTCGCTGACGACTGAAGG